AAAAAAAAAAAAAAAAGCATGAAAACGTACCACGTATATCAGTGATAAAAATGGTTGAAAAATTTGGTCGAATCGTCTGAGCATCGACGGCAATTATACAAGACACAGACGGTTTGTGACACACACGTTGGACAAGAAGATAACAGATAAATGCTGCTGCACTGCTTGTCACAAAACTGGTTTGCCAATCCTTCCGGGTTTTCTTGGCTGTCGATGCATGAACTTTGCTTTGGAAAGCTATTGTTAGGCTTTCTTCCAGACGTGCAAAATGTTCCTTAATACAGATCAATGTAGACCGAGATTTAGAAGACCCGCTAATTTCAAAGTTTAGCGCCTAAACTAATCGTAGGATCTAACTTAAGCTTCTAGATTGTATAAGCTTCTAGATTGGGGATTATTTATTGATTGAGGATCCTTATTTACAGACAAAGAGACTTTCAAGATTTATTTACACATCCAGCTTGAAATTTTATGTATAATTATTTAGAAGAGGTTCACATGATGGAAAGTTTATTTTTTTATTTTATAAACTTATAATTTTCTCTTGTTGTAATAGTTCTATATTAGTTTTATATTCATAGTGTATGAGAGTAGTATAATAGTGTATAATTTTATAATAATTTTCTAGGTCATACAGAGTGGTGAAAAATTAAAATTAAAATTAAAATTATTTTCATTTTTATATTAAAATGTCACTCGAATATTTGATTGAAATTTCGTTGAAGTGAGTAACGGAGTAATGAAAAGCAAACATGTCACTACCTCCGGAAGGTAGTTTCGCGACGACTTCCTGCTCATCGCGATGTTACTCAAGAAACGTCGGAAATAAAGTTGGAAAATCGTGTTCCTGCCATCCAGGCATCGACCAATGAAATTGTTTCTGATGCAACAATCATTGCGACACGATCATCAACGAAGATAAGTATAAAAATAAAAGTGTGGGAGAGTTTGCATTATGATTTTTCTTTGATTTTTGTTGTGTCTAAACTTTCCATCGTGCGTTATTTAATAGGTATTTGTTAAACTCTGCCAAACTATGTTGCAAAACAGATACATAGATATCAGAATGTAATTAATTTAGATCCTGATCTAATTTTAATTGAAAGCTACAGATATCTTTAAACAAATATTTTTGTATCTATTACTTTTGTTTCATATTTTTAATTTTCAGTGTTTAATTAATTACGTGGATTTTTTTTTAGAGAGAAAATTGAGCTCAATCAGAAATTTATAATATAATTATTGTTAACCTAAGCTAAATAAAATAAATAATAATACCTCTTCTGGAAGAATTGTTAAGTCCCCAGAAAAATATGGAACAGAGATTTATATATGTTTGTTGCTCGAATAATATTTATATACCTCTCGTTTTATTTACATAGAGCCAATAATGAGTTCAGAAATAATTGCATTAACAGGAAAAGTAACGCATTATTCATGAGACGAGGAGAGCCGTAATAAGCCCCGGAGAGAAACTCTCCCATTCACGATGCATGCTCTTTTCCAAAGCCGACGATTTAATGCTGGCGTCCTCGATTTGATGGGAAAGAACAATAATACTGCCGAGAAAAATATGCGTTTGCAGTACGCTCTGCTAAAAGATACATTGCTGATGAGGCGAAGCAACGATCCACAACCAGTTTGCTAATTAATTAAACGCTCTAACGTCACTATAGCTTTATTGAACAATAAGAAAATAAGAGAAAACGTTCAGCTATCGAATGTACAATTTCTCAGGAAAACTTGCTTCAACAAAAGGAAGATAGCACATTTAATGAAGGAACACTATTTTATTAAAAAAGTAAAAAATTATTAATAAAATTTTGTTACAATTTTTGAGCTGTTATTTAAAAAAAAATAAAATAAAATAAAATAGCTACTAAAGATAGAATTTTTAATAAGAAGAATTTACAGTAATTATATAGTATTTTGCGAAAAAAATTTTATTCAATTATAAGTACTATAAACTTTACTGCTGTAAATTCTATGTTTCTTTATTAACTCTTATTGATTCTTATTAATGTCATACATTCCTGAAAGTAGAATCTATGATAGATTCTGCAAAGGACACTCATATTCTTAGAACTATTATCCTCCCTCATATATGAATTCCAAGAATTGCACATTTCCATTTTTTTTCTCAGCACGTCAACTCTGTGAAAAACGAGTACATGGATTTCTCCTTAAATAAACAATCGTGCAAGAAATATTGCTAATTGGATATTAATTGGAGATCAGAGGAGCTTTCGGAAAGCGGCAGTACCCTTGGAAAGACATTCGACAAAAATCTACAGGGATCGTTAAGTTACCTTACAGGCTGATTCAAGGACAGACAAGTATCATCAGGATTGCGAGTCATCCTGCTTGTTCTTTCTGTTCCTCTTTTTTTTCTCTCCGCTCCTTTTTCCTTGGATTCTGCCGTCCTTCCGTGCCGGACGAAACTTTTTTGCTCAACGCTCGTTTAAAACTCGTTTAAAATCATCCACAAAAGTATATTAACTTCACTTGTAATTGTAAGTTAGAATTTGTATTTTATTATCCGAATTCAATTCCATCAAGATTTATGATGATTTGAAATATATTTCTAATTTTCTCTAGGCATTGAAACTAACTGCCAACTGTCTGAAATTATGAAACTTTATAAACTGTGAATCATCACAGACAATTTTCGGACAACGAGATTATAGTTGGGAGTAATTGATGCAGAAGTTTTACTTTATGCTTAAGTTACGAGGAGTAATTAACTTAGGTGTAATTTATTGTGTCAGTTTAATTGCATTTAATGAAAATTTAATGCCACGAGTCAGGAGGAATTTCTTTGATGGTCTCTTCATCTGGGAATCTCATTTATAGGAATTCTTCCACAGTCTTTCATAGACAGACATAATCTTCTTCCAGAGAAAGAAACGAAATTTTTTTTCAAGAAGTGTTCTATATATAATTTTTTCTACAACATGGAAATATTATTCAATGGTATGCTAATTTTTAAAGCAATTGACATAGTGAAACGAATTTCACAAATTAAAAGTCAAGTAATTATCCCATCAGTCTACCAAGGAATCAAAAATCTGCTGCAAAATCATAGAAAAAAGATTCGTAATTTACAGTGTACATCAATTTAGAAGTCATCGATTCGCCAAATTAATAATTAAATTATTGTATAACGATATCAACAACTGTATAAAGGAAAAGAAGATATTAGAAGAAATAAATTTGGAAAATGAATGACGCATTGGATTCAACTGCTGTGAGGAGGCAGAAGAACGAAAGGAGCAAAGAAGCAAAAGAAGAAGAAGAAGAAGTCAGGCAAACTTTCTGATGAAGGAAGTTGTTTGCAGTCGAATGAATCGAACCTTGGAAAGAGTGGTCCCAGACGGTGTTGGAAATGGCTCAAAGGAGCCCGCGGCACGTCGACAAGACGTCCCCCTTTGTGGGATACCGTTCGACCACCGAGCAAGTAACGAGATCTCGGTTCGTAGAACTCGCTTTAACGATTCTGCTCCTTGTTTCAAATTTATTCACCTTGGCCAAAATCATTTGTCCACAGTGAACGTACTATATATACTACAAGCGACTAATATCGTCACTTTTCAAACCAGAGTATGATATCTCTGTTCCCGCGACGATGAACGATTCCTTTGTTCCTTTGTCTCCAACTTACTTATATTATCTATGTATTATTCAAAGAAGAATTATTTTCTTGGATTAGTAAAGTGGAGAAACATACAGTGAGATGCTACACTGTAAATTAGATGTAATTAAATGTATAGTCATCACATCTAATTATGCTGGAATGGAGAAGCATTTAAAAAAAAGAGAGAAACGTATTATTTAGGTAAGAGGAGCTTGTTCACTCGAATATTTGGATGAAACTCGATCAGTTGTTCAGAGGAAAGCGTGCATCGATCGAATGGTTCGAGGGGTCAAGCGTTCGCACGTGTCTGCACGGTTTTCTTTCTTTTGCAGACATTGGATACTGTATATACATTGGATGCTGCACGAAACCGTTATGCAACCTGCAGCGGTCTTTGCTCGATTGCCCGATTCCCGTTGCCCTGTCGTTTTTGTCACGGTTTAGGTTAGATTTAGCGAAACCAAATCAAAACTCATTTTTGTTAAAAAAATTTTTATCCATGAGATGGCGAAAAAGATTTGAAGGATAATAAAGCAATGACTAAGGAAACAAACACATTCTGCAATCATTCTCATCTACAAGGAAACCACGTTTCATTGGTTGTTTAGCACTCGAATTTTTTTCATACCAGTCCTCTGCGTCTACATAATTGAAATATGCGTCTCGAGTAAATTTTCAAATTGATTTCAGATCAGAAAGCTTCGTTTCCATTTCTTCGATGTCAAGTGACAGCCGCTACGATCATGCAAGAAACCATGGGCATTCACATCACGAAGGCATTTTCCGGTTTTCTGTGTTCCATAACGTTTTAAAGCAATCGTACGGTTCATTTCAGAAACGACGTTCATTGTCCTCTCCCTGTTACGCCAAGCTGTCTCCACATTTCGAATCCTTCCATAGAAATCAAGCTCAGTATACTTCCATCGAATGAGCTTAGAACAATGAGCTATCCACTAATTGAACTAACCTCAAAAGCGCTGTCATCTTTCAAATATATGTATTCGAAGGGTATCTGTTCGAGTTATTAGTTTTCATGGCGTTAGACTTTTCAAATTGTCTACGAAAGAAATTTGAGGAATTTTACGGATTGGAAATTGAGAGATTTGCCATATTGCAAATTGATGCGTCTTGGAAATTTGAAGATTTTTAATCTGGCGCTTCGGCGTACTCTGAAGTCAATTCGACGACTGGAAAATTTGTACAAGTTTTAAAACGGGTATAAGTTGGAAAATTTGAATGTTGGAAACCCGGGAATTTTGAAGGGTAGAAAATTTAGATGTTGAAACCCTGACATTTGAAGATTGAAAAATTGAAAAATTAAAGAGCATCGTTATTTCTCATTTTTTGTCTTATTATTAAAGTCATAGAATCGTTACTTAATTTAAAGTTATGTATATCGTAAAGCGCGTAATATCACGGAATAAGCATTTGAGGCGACAGGCTCGCACAAGTCACCGACGCACGGCGCGTCATCGACCACCATGATCCCCGTGTGTTTAGTCTGTCTCCCTATTTCCTTCTCCCTTTTGGCTACTCTTCTTCTCGCCTCTCTCCGCCCTTGGCCACTACCTTGTTCGCTTTCAAACACTCTCCTCTTTTGTTGTTTGCTTCCCTTCTTCTCCTCCTTGCTGCACTTGTGCATTCTTTTTTCCTCTGTTTTACTGTTTCAGTGCTTGATGTTTGGTCGCTCAAGTTATTATTAGACTGCAAATATTCGTTTTAATTTAAATTTATACTTTTGTGAGTATCATTAAAAGATGGAGCATAAGCAGGAAACATAGTATTACAAAATTTCACAGAATATAATATTACTTTAAATATTCCAATGAAAGAAATTCATTAAAAAAAAACTGCAGTCTAATGATCATAATAGGAATTATGACAATGGGATCTTAACATAATAATATAATATAATATCTATGATATAATAATATAATATAATATCTTGACAAATTACAATATAATATTTTTTTGAAAAGAATTAATTCAAGAAAAATTTCTTCCATCCATTTCTTTTTCTTTTTTTTTTTGTTTCTTCGACAAAGTTTTGTTCCTTTGCTCTTTCCATTCCTAACTCTTTTTTACTCCTTCAATCTATTTATAACCAATCCCAACTCTCTGTCGCTCTCTTCATCTCTAACCAGCACTATATCTTCTCTCGCTTCCCCTATGAAAGGGGAAGAAAATGGAAAGCTGTGACGCGATTTACGACCCTTAGTTGTTTAAAGCTTCTGGATGAAATTTATCAGCCGCGCACACGTGCCACCTCTAAAAATAGATGTGTCTAACGCCACAGGTCCTTTCAGGTGACGGAAAAATGGACGCAAATTGGTGTCAGGAGGAAAGCATTGAATGGAATCATGTGTCCAACGTGTGCATCAGGTATCCACGAGCCCGTTTATCGTCCTTTAAAAGAGAGACTCGAACGTCGTGTGGGCAGTAGCGGAGATGAAGCCACTTGGGGGAGGGGTTTCTTGACCCAAGGTGAGCCGGTATAATAAAAGCGAGAGGTCTTCCTCCCCCTACAGGAGAAAAAAGACCACCTGACGAATCCTTGCGCGTAAGAAGAAACAGGATGGAAGAGGTCAGCTGTGATCTAACTTCTACTGGCCAGACTAAAGACGATTAACATCAGGTCAGAAACACTTTTTCTATGTGTTCCTGGACCTTCATACTGGGTGTCCGAATATAATGGTACAATCGACCATCCAATGTGTGAAAACAGATGGAAAAGCGTGGAATCGAGATTTCTTTCCGAGAGATTTCAATTTGGAAGTTTACAAAAATATCAGGTCAATTCGTTTAAATTTATCAGTATCATAGTTACTGAGACAGCTTGTGTAATGGAAGATATGAAGGACCAAATTCTCATGACCATGAGAAGCAAGAGAAGAAGAAACACCATATGGTTCGGTTTTTGAGATCATGTGACGTAATTAGCAAATGATTCTCTAACGAAGCGTTTTTCTAATCAAGGGCCGAGTGCGTCATCGCCTACAAATGCTTTAACGAACATTTCTCTCTGTCGAAACAAAGCTGACGTTCTAAACTTCTCACCCCTATAGCCGTAAATTAAGGCGATGACATTATCCGCACCCCCCGCATTCCTAGCCCTTGAAGCGGAGCCAGTGACTCATCGATGACTGTTCATCAATTTCCGCCTCGTTTCGCTTATCCTGGAGAAGCCACAAAGTCTGTAGCCATGGTTTTATTATCAGACATCAGTCTGTTTTCAATTTCTTATTACATATTAACAATCTTCTGTTTCTCCATTTACTACAAGCTAAACCTCAGCTTAGAAATGTCCATTTTGAAATTGAAATTCTCTTTTGCAGCAATTATGGAAAGAGCAGCCCAAGAGGATGACTGTTGAATCATCAACAAAGTCTGAAAAAGTTGGACACCAAAATAAGTTAGATCTTGGGTCTTTAACTATTACTTTCAAATTGCACTTCTTCCGGAGTAACTATGATAAGAAGACTAATTGACGAATGAAGAGTACCCAGCGACGGAGTTTCTAAAATAACTTCTTTCTGGAGTAATTATGAATTGCGATAAGACTAACGATTGTTTAACAACCGAGTTTAAAAGAGCTTTGTCATCGTTGGATAAGAAAACTGAAAAATCAAAATTAGTAAGGCCTTGCACTTTGGACTATATATAACTCTGGTGTACACGTTGTGCGCAGGGTCAAGTTAAGCCCGCCTCGTCTTGAAGGTGGCTTTACGATGCAAATACACGTTGCCGCGATTTACACAATTTTCTCTTGTTCGGCTAGGAAGTCGTGAGGTTGAGGCGTCGTGAGGTTGCATTCGTTTCTGAAACGAAAATAGCCGACGGGGAAGGATAAAGGCGGCTCACAGCCCCGAATGAAAGACCAGCCTCTGAAAGCGACAGACGGACAAAACAACGAGCCAAGGGGAGAAAAATCGAAGTAAACGCTCCGTCAAATCGCGTTTTCACTGCCCTTTCCTGCTTTTACCAACGGTGGTCTAAAAATACGTGACGCCATGTGACAAGAGAAAGTGCGTCCTTGGCTCCACGGAGAACAAAGATTTGCAATCTGTCAGTTTCCAGAAATGTAATTAAAGTATTAGATTGTTGCCCGTTTCATGTAAAGTGTAAAGTTGAAGACCATGGAAGACTCAATCTAAATTATCATTTACAATTGGTCAAATAATAACTCAACTGCTCTTTTCTTTGATTTATTTAAGGAAAATTTTCTTTTTGAATTTTCCTTGTTTAAAAAAAAGAAAATACCTTTATACAATTTAGCATGGTCCAATACACTCTTCCATCACTTAGGAAGAAATTTTCCTTCTGAAATTTAGCACGCCATTAATTTTTTTCTAAAGCCTGGTATGAAATGGGCTCAGAAGGCAGCGATTTTCTAAAGAAACTCTCTGTTTTGTTTTGTCACTGCACGATGATAGATTGGAGATTACACGGGCGTTGCATGAAATTTCACGGGGTGAAGCATGATTCGGCCCAAATGAATCGGACGGAATGATAGAAAAAAAACTGTGTAATTACAACGCGACGCGAAAATGTGTGTACAGAGGCGAGGATAGCCGGTTTATCCTGAAGGCAGCCAGCGGAACAAAGAGAAACTACCGGACACATTCAGCGTCTTGGGCAACCGAAGTGATTTCGTAACTCCCCGCGCTACCGCAAACTGTATCACGTGAGAGACGTTTGATCCTCAATAGAACGTTTGCTGTGTACTAACCTAACCTAAACCTGATGTATAATTAGAAAACAGAAGAAAGACACTTCAAAATAAAGTACAGAAATGTACATAAGTGAAGATCAAGCAAGACCAACAAACATGGTATTTCATTTTTGTGATCTGCAATCTATGACTTAGATCTTATTCACTTATCTTAGGTGACTATAAAATCAAGACTACTCAGTTTTAAACTATACTTCTCTTAATTTGTATTTTGTACTTTATATAGTCATAATCTTTACATGTTAAATCACCAAATGCAAATTAAAATATAATTAACCAGTTTAAACTAGTTGTTCGCAGGAAATATATATTTCTTCAATATATTTAATAGACTGCAAGACTACCAATTCGAGCATAATAAAAATTTCTTTTTTAAGATCTCTAATGCGATGCTCTTAAATATAAAGAAAGAGATATTAACGAACATTTGTCACTCAAGGAGGAGTCTTTCCAAACCAAGAATTTTGATGAATCATTATTGGTTTTAGGCTCATCTCTGGCTATCACTCGGTTGATTATCCAACACTGTTATGGATCATCTATGAATCGAGATTAGAAAATTTCATTGAAAGGAATTCACGACGACGTTGAAAATAAATGGAAGATTCGACGGCATAGAATGCTGAATATAAAGAAAGGATTCTCTAGAAGTTTCAACGTGTAATGACGGCAAGATTGATCGATCAAAGAAACTATTGAATGACGCGTTTTTTTCTTTTTCCTTTTTCTTTTTCAGAGAATGAAATCTCGTTGTTTACAATGACGCATTGGAAAGACTGCGTTAATTGATCAAAAGCATCTCGATGAATGGAGGAGAAATCGTTAGAAGCCAACCGTGGAACGAAATCGTTGCAGCACCGCGGAATCGATTCTTTGCTTTTGTTGGGCAATTGACGATTTCCTATGTAAAACGATCTTTTCCACTCTCGACAGCACATTCAAATCAATTAAAAAAGATCAATTACCATGGGATATCGTTATTATACAGGGGTACGATTAACAATCCTTACATAATACGAAGAAATTGTACAGTGCGGCAATTATTGCACAATTGAACGATTCAACGATCGAAGGAGAATTCGAAATTTGATAATTTCGAAGCTTTTTAGATTTGAGTATTCTCCTTGAAGACCGAGGACACTTCGAAAGTGTCCCCCCGATGCTTCTGAAACTTGGCAACTTGAAAGTTTCGAAACCTTGAACCGTTTTCATGCTATAAAAAGGACTTAATGACGCCTACGAGTTTTCCACTTTATCAATGGCGACCACACATCAATCGGTGTGAATTTTTTACGCGCGTGGCATCGATCGTGGCTCACGACAATCGCCATGGACAATTATAACTTAGAGAACAGGGTCGTAAAGAACTGAAGTTCACGGAGGATCGATCGAATCGTTGTTAATGGGGAGCGGATGAGAGAGACGCTTAATGCCATCAGAGAGACCACCACGTGTATCGATTACTATTAATAAAAATGGCGCGTGATAATTAAACTCGCCCTAGGTAAGATGCGTAGATCAACACAACACAACCGGTGAAGTGACATTCACCGTGAGGCTTTTGCACGTCACATTATCACGGGGTCGTTAAATTCTCGTCCAAGTGTAAAACCGCTGATAAAAATAATTGAAGATAAGTTTCAATGAAAAATAAACATAGGTGTCATTAAAGGTCAGGCACAAGATGATTGCGATTGATCTAATTGTAAGGCACAAGGCACACGTTGACCTGATCAGTGGCCTTTAAGTTATTTTAAATTTATGTCTCTTGCAGAAGAAAGGGTCAGGATCGAGCAGACGATCCATTTTAATCTCTGTTTATCTAATCCTTTCGAAAAAAACAAGTGTAGGAAACTAGGTGCACCGAATTGTACAGAGCGGAACATCTATGAATTTGAAGCTTCCTCCAAAGTAAATTAGCCTGTAACAATGGCTGGAAGTCGACGGAGCGTGTGTGCACTCTTCCAGGTCAAAGTTCACGCACGGTTGAGCACCAAACAGAAAGAAAGAAAAGAAACCAGAGGATTGCTGTCTGTATCTCTAACAGAACACATGAACCCCAAGAACATAGGCCCGACAAGGATGTGAATGTTATTGAAATTATTTCAGATTCCAGAATGATCTCAAAATATTGATCGTCCACTGAGGAGCAAAAAAACTGACCAGTCAGTTGCTGGGAAAACCAGGCGTTGCTTCTGGCACCTCGCAGTCCCGTTGTTCCACACTGTATTAATTAACACTGTCATAAATTCTCATGTTATGGGAAGAGACGAAAAGAAGTTTCTCGCTTTGTCGGCCCAGCATCATTAGGGTCGGCCCACCACACCATCCGTTCCCCACCCAGAATCCCTGTTCTATTTCACACGAGTTGACATGCTACTGGCATCGAGAAAGATGCATTAGGGTCGAACGGAAATGGATATTAGAAAACGTCGGATTCGAGACGTTTTTTTTTTTTTTTTTTT